ATGTGGCTAGTGAAACCTGTAAATCTTCCAAAAATCTGGACAGAAAAAAAGTATATGTAAATCGGTTGATTCGCTTACCATATCCGATGGTTGTTGAATAAAGCCTCCCCAGTAGCGTTCAGGAATCTGAGGGGACGACAGCAAGGTTCTCAACTGATCAAAGGTCTTGTTATAGAAGAATCGAACATTTTCAATGTAATGTTCGAAATCTGGAAGATTATGTATTTGGTGTTGTTCTGGTTGACTTTTGGAAGCGTAAGGGTTTTTTCCAATTAAAATGAGGGAAATGATGATTTTGGCTATAACCCGTGAAATCTTTAGCCAAATCATTGTCTGGGATGGTAATATTTATAACAATGACTCTTTCAAACACTCACGATTATTGTGATTGTGTTATGTTGAACGACACATGTAGATGATGAATTTTCCAGACATTCTATTGGCTGGTAAGGAGGTGAAATATCAGGAAGTCTGTGTTGAATGCTGCCGATACACTTTGTGGAAGAAACTACCTGTCGATTCCCGCCCCCAGGATTAAAGCTATATACATTAGGAAGTACACCATATGTTCTTTTAATGTGATATGCAGAATTTGTCTTCTCAAAAAAAAAAAGGTTAAATAGCTGCCGAATGATATAAACACTTACTGTTATTAAAATTGAATTTTTCAAACAATTCTAAACTAGCTTTATATTTACATATGTAACTTCCTTAGTAGCTGTAGACTTCCTTGTCTGGAAGCTTCTATTAACGCTCTGAAATTCCTCAAATCCAGGATGTGATTTTGACGCCCATTTTGACGTGTTGTAAAGTGACGGCTCAGACGGATAAAAAAAAGAAAGAAGGGGGGGGTCTAAAGAAGTTCATTAAATACTGAAACTTAACCGAGCTATATTATGTCTTCTCAGAATAAGTACAACTAGTTTTAAAATGGATTTGGACCTTTTAACCTGAAAAAAAAACCTTATCGTGTTCACGTGGACTAAATAACCAAATCAGACGCCACCCCTATGGTTTAACTATATCAGTCTCTAATTTTCAGGCAAGGCATGGCCAGGTGATTAGGGCGCTTTTCTAGCAAGCTGAGGGTCGCGGGTTCGAAATAACCAAATCAGACGCCACCCCTAAGGTTGAACAATATCAGTCTCTAATTTTCAGGCCCGGCATGGCCAGGTGATTAGGGCGCTTTTCTAGCAAGCTGGGGGGTCGCAGGTTCGAATCCCCGTCACACCAAACATGCTCGCCCCTTTTAGCCGTGGGGGGCGTTATAATGTGACGGTCAATCCCACTATTCGTTGGTAAAAGAGTAGCCCAAGAGTTGGCAGTGGGTGGTGATGACTAGCTAGCTGCCTTCTCTCTAGTCTTTTACTGTTAAATTAGGAACGGCTAGCGCAGATAGCCCTCGTGTAGTCCTCGAGCGCCCCAACCACCTAGCCATGCTGGGCATTATTATACTGCCTACGATTAATATTGAATAGAGTTATTGCATTTTCAAGTGTTTCAAATAGAGGTATCTGTTAGTTGCGATTAAAACTGTTGTTAGCACCAGTACAGAAACACCTCGCTAACCAAAGAAATTGAGAAGGTGCCGTTCCTGTACGTCACAAACCCCAAAAATAAAGAACTGTCAATTTTATCTTATTAATGCTCCCCAGTGGTAAGTATGAAGGTTTATAACGCCAAAAACTGAGTTTCGATACCTGTAGTGGTCACTGCACGGATTGTGAAATTTTGCTTAACGACAAACAAACATCTCTTGCTAATAAAATAATTCCCAGGCAGCTTTAGTTCTTTAGTACCTATAAAGATGGCGTCTTGGTTTTTCAACTCGTATCAAAAAAACACGTCAATTACCACAAGCTTACTCAATATTCCAAATAGAAAATCGTCCGAAATATCACAAACCAGTATTTTTGTCAGAACAGATTACTGTACAAGTTTTTATATCAGTACAAGCAGGGACACGCAAAATATTTACTGTCACATTAGTATCTTTTTTTGCAACAATAAAAAGAGCTGCTTGTGACAACATAATCTAAAAAATACCACAGATAATCCTGTGTTGTTGATGGTATGTATTCTATGTAAATTTTTTGTATGTTTCTGTGTAACACACATAAACTTTCGAGTTAGCTAAATATAATATCATGTCTAAACTTGTTTGTTTTGTAAATAATAAATTCCTCAAAAATGGTCCGCATCTGTGCTTTTATTTTTGACCCTACCGAAACGAGAGTCGGGAAACGAAAACATGGTAAATGTAACTCTGACTTCTGTTTGCGAGTGGAAGTCCAGGTCAATGATTCCCAACGTTTTTATGTTGCATGCTCCCATTCCCAGTTAGACCCTGGAGTCAACAGCATACCCCGAAATGGATATAGTTTTAAAGAAAAAGTTGTTTTTTCCAATTAATTAAAAGAAAAACCAAACGGCATAATTCAAGAGTGAGTCAACAATATGTTAGTAACACATTGATATTGCCCTCAAAGTTTAGGGCGAGGGGTTTATTTCTTTTTAATTAACATTTTCAGGTTCTTACGTGCACTATAGGTTGGGGGACTAGGTTATGGTTCGGTATTCATGAACATAATGATGCAACACTTCTTCCCTCAGCCACAAAATGATTTGTAGAAATATAAACTGTCCAGTTTCTAGGAAAACACAACTCCCAAAATAACCATTCCATAATTTCATTTAAATTTCCAAGATTAAAAGTTTTCTTTTTTTTTTGTGTGTGTGTTACAACCGAATTAGACTCTAAGCCTAATTCAACCGTAACAAGGTCTTTACTTTAGATCATCTGCTCAAAAATGCTAGTGCCCCAAAAGAATAAACTGGAAAAACGTTTATATTTAAATGTGTCAGTTCATTCGTTATTGTCTTGTACTTAGTATTTATCTTAATTAAATGACAGGTTCCCACGTTTCCCAAATGTAAGACATCTCACAGAAAAACACATTTCCATTTTTACAGAGTGTTGCATTTTAGTCTTCTTCGGTATTTGTGGTCAATGAAATAAATCTTTTTTTAAAGTAAACTAAATTTTTTTTTCAAAAAAAGGAAATTAAATATACATAAATATGCTTATGAGGTTACTTGCTAACCACCATATTATGCTGTATTTCATGAATTACGTTATATATATTAACATTCTACATAATTATTACGAGAAGCGGGTTTAAAGGCATATTGAGCAACCTGTCATGTTAAAAATTATTTGCAAATAAATGTTAAGTAAATACAAGCTGAGTCGTAATTCAAACAATAAACTTTATATCAGGAATAAACATTTTAAGTAACAACAGCAAAACATTGTTTAAACCTTCTTTGGTCTAACAAAACAATATATGGAGTTATGATTCGGTATTTCAAAGAATGAAAGGAACAATGGCTCTTCTGGTCTTTGGATATTCTTTAAAGTTGCTCTTGTACCAGTGGTGAGACATTATTGCAGCAAGAACCTGGTTGCAGATAACCCACAAACAAACTAACCACCAATTCCCATGGTGACCTCCTAAAATAAGGTTCATAGCCATGTATATAACAATTTCTGCAAAATAATGAGGACAAGACACCCAGTCAAACCATCCTCCACTTGGTAACTGGTGGTGATACGTCACAACTGAGCCTGAGGGTAAGATAAAAAAATCCTCATTCACTAGAAGTGTGATGAAATATATTAACACTATTTTAATTGTCAATACGTCACAACTGAGGGTAAGATTTAAAAAAATCCTCATTCACTGGAAGTGTGATGAAATATATTAACACTAGTTTAAATGTCAATAAGTCAACTGACACTGAGGGTAAGATAAAAAAAAATCCTCATTCACAAGAAGTGTGATGAAATATATTAACACCAGTTTAAATGTCAATACATCACAACTGAGGGTAAGATTTAAAAAATCCTCATTCACTGGAAGTGTGATGAAATATATTAACACTAGTTTAAATGTCAACACGTCACAACTGACACTGAGGGTAAGATTTAAAAATCTCATTCACTGGAAGTGTGATGAAATATATTAACACCAGTTTAAATGTCAATACAGTCACAACTGAGGGTAAGATTTAAAAAAAATCTCATTCACTAGAAGTGTGATGAAATATATTAACACTAGTTTAAAAGTCACCATCAATGAACGTTTTTTTTTTTTCTCAAGTTATCAATGTTTATGAATACCAAATACAGCAAACTAATGACATCCTTTGTTATCAGCATAAAATCTGATTGAACCAAATATTGTTAAATCATTTTAGCTCATCCAGAAATCTACAACTGTCTGTCTAAATAAAAGAGAACAACGTTTTTGCCTTCACTACCGAAGAAGGCTTCAGTATAGAAGCCAAAATTTCATCTCCTTTCCATTCAGCAAGCAATTGCAGTCTATTAAAAGTCTTAAATTGGCTGTCCTAATAAAATTGGAGAAAGAGAAGGAAAAAAAAAAATCACACGAGAAACAAAACATCGAGACAGATGATATTTTTAACAAATATAAACTTATGCTTTGGGATAACATGAGCTCATCGGGACATTGTACATTTCTAAAAAAAACTTTCCTTCATTACTCATTCGAGCCATATCCAAACTTTTAAGTAGTTACTACGTAATGAATATTTAGTAGTAATAATACACAAAATACTTCACCCAATTAATACTTTTTATCAGTTAAATGTTCAAGTTACAAGAATTGTACTCGTTTTCCCCTTATCTGCAGATTCTTTTCAAGAAACAAAGAATCTTTAATTCTTAATTTCTAAACAAACTAATTCATTTACAATGCATAAGGCAATAGAAATACACACACACGCAAACAAAACATCTTGTGGTAATTTTCTTACCCTTGGAATTTTTACGCAGACTGGCGAGGATTACATGACTGGAATGCTGAAGGTAGATACCCCATAGTCCTAGCAATACTCCAAAAGCCTGGTACCATTTCACTGATGACCAGCTATAGTGAGTTAATTCTCGAGTCTCTGGAATTTCAAGTAAAATTAACATTTTTAAAAACATGATGTTTTATTGACATGAAAAACACTAGAAAATGTACTTCTAACTTGGTTATTTTTTATTTTATGACCAAGTTTAGCTGGAAATGAAAATACTTAATTATATAAAAAAAAAGGTTGATTTATTAACCTGTATCATTTTCTGTATAACTTTTTAATTTCAGCTTTATAAAAAAGATACGAACACGTATAGTAACACCTTGATACACAATGTACAAAGTAGTTTTGCCAAGATAAATTTTCAAACTGAACAGACTATTTTTAATTATATTTGCACTTCAATATTAATATTAAAACTGCTAGTATTAGATTAATTACAAACAAAGGATACCCAAAGTATGATAGCTTTTAGTGAAAGATTGTCATTGCTTTCAACAGGCTATCTGTCTTCCAGGAGAAATTAAACTCCAGATTTTTCCCGTTATAAGTTTGTAAATTTACCGCTCACCCACAACGATACTTTAGTGTAAGGATATCAACTTTGATTGATAAAAAATTAATTTCCACGTGCATATTGTTAAACATGAAGATCTGATTCTTCAAAAGCAGCATGAACCATTTACTTGACAACTTGAAACAAACAAAAAAAATCATTAAGCTGTTGTTGTTTAGCACAACATGGAAAGAAACAATTCATTCAGATAAAAAAGGTAATAAAAGATATAAATCTGAATAAAAACTTTATTTATTTGCACAAGATAAAGTTGTTTATTCAGATGTTTCAATTTGCCCTTTAGTATCTTTTATCCAAACTATTAAAATAAATATGTGCTGTAAAATTTCAGTCTTACGGCAATTTTTTAAAGACGTAAAAAAAAACAAATCACCAAAAGTCTAATGTGAAGTATCAGTTTCAACTGCATACGTAAAAAAATCACTAACAGATCCTCAAACTCGTAGTATAATCATTACAGGCAGTGATGGGAGTAAATAGGAGTCCCATAGGAGTAAATAGGAGTTACTATGTTCTGAATACCATTACATGTATTATAGTGCTTTATGAAAATGGGAATGTTTCTGGTTCCATGCCTTCTAGAAATAAATGCATCTGTTATCTGTCTACAAATCTGACCAAATTGTTTGTCCTGTGCAAATATTTCAGTTTCAAAGAAAGGCACCCTACAATTGCAGCAAGCCCGACTAAACAGGCAGCAGCTATCTGCTTGTATTGTAGATGACGGCCTAAATGGAAAACTATTTATAAACCGAGTGCTTTGTGTTCTGAGTTATAAAAGACACAAAATTTTAAATAAAGAATGAATACATAAATAATTTCCTCTGAAAAAAAAAATTAACACTTTATTCCATCACACACAACAATTTACTTGTGTTGTGTATCAGCGTGTTCATATTTAGTACGTGACATGAACTATTTTCCAACAAATATTTTTTGACACATTGTGTAATAAATATTGTAGTTGAAAAGTACTAGTTTGTGTGAAAAATTGAGTGACAAAATAAAAATATACACAGGTCAAAACACAGGCTCAGTTAACACTGTTTTCATTTTTTGAAAGAAAAAAATTAACACAATGATGACAGTAAAAATTGTGGTCGTCTAATTTAACATGGTCCAGTTTCAACTACTTCTTGTGAGAGAGAGGGTTCAGTGCAGTGAATAGGGTTAAAAATATCATGCTTATGTACAGAAATGATAACAGATTAATCAAGGTGAGCAACAATGGTGTGTCGGTCTCAGGATAAAGCCCACTTCTGGCAGATCAACACTGGCATCTAACATCTTCAGGTTGTCAGTGTACACAGTGATACAAGTGTGAGCTGGTAAATTTTCTGTATTTATCTGTAGGGCCACTTTAAACTACAATGCTCTCCAAAGTAACAAATAAGATGAGAATGCATGAGACCAATATATTAATTTGATGTTGAATGATCAATAACTTGCATCTCAGACCTTTGGACCATCAATAACTTGCATCTCAGACCTTTGGACCATCAATAACTTGCATCTCAGACCTTTGGACCATCAACAACTTGTACCTCAGACCTTTGGACCGTCAACAACTTGTACCTCAGACCTTTGGACCGTCAACAACTTGTACCTCAGACCTTTGGACCGTCAACAACTTGTACCTCAGACCTTTGGACCGTCAACAACTTGTACCTCAGACCTTTGGACCGTCAACAACTTGTACCTCAGACCTTTGGACCATCAATAACTTGTACCTCAGACCTTTGGACCATCAATAACTTGTACCTCAGACCTTTGGACCATCAATAACTTGTACCTCAGACCTTTGGACCATCAATAACTTGTACCTCAGACCTTTGGACCATCAATAACTTGTACCTCAGACCTTTGGACCATCAATAACTTGCATCTCAGACCTTTGGACCATCAATAACTTGTACCTCAGACCTTTGGACCATCAATAACTTGCATCTCAGACCTTTGGACCACGTGACTAATCACCAGATTCCTAATTTTTATACCAATAAACTATTGGGGGTAAGGATGTGGGGGTTTGCTTCTTTTATAACTGTTTTTATCTCATTATGGATAACATCTTATGAATTATAATCATCATTTGTTTGCCACAATTTATTTCTTGCCCAATACAGTATCATGTACCAAAAAATATACTATTAATTAAGAAGCTTTTTTCGTATTGCTTTAACCCTTTCACTGCAGCTGGGACATATATTTCCCAGTGCACATATATAAATAAGCATGAATTTTGATAAAATAAATCTAGTGTTAATTATATTTTTAATTAAGTGAACATATGGAAAAAAAACCAAGTAAAATTTAATTTTTCATGGGAAAAAAAAACACTTCTTTTTTACTTTGAATATGAGTGAACTTACAATAAAAATTTACCATTCAAAGAAAATCCTGGTGCTTCTTCCAGGATTGTCAGGGCGACTCCAACATAGAAGCCATGGCCAACACAGTAATGCAGAATATTAATTTTTCCCGCAGAAAACACATTGACGTTCACACATTCATACAAACGTTGGTATATGTGAAGTAGAAGTAAAGATTCCACAAGCACTACCGCTTCTGGAGAAGCTGTAAAGAACAAAACGACCAGTTTACATTTTTATGTAAGTATACTATTCATACGCTATTGCAGATAACATTTGAGGTTTAAAAAAATTTCAGAAAGTAAAACCAAAATTATTACGTTTAAACAAAATACATTGAAAAATTTATGTAAGACTCATTACGGATATCATCTACACATACATGTAACTTGTACCTGTTTTTAAATTTCATATTTTTTAATTACTTTTCTTAATCATCTTCTTAATTAGATAGAAATTAACCCTTGTAAATAACCTAAGTGTAGAAGCTGTATCAAAAATGAATCTCTGGGATCCAGAATATCTTAGACAAAATTAGTTTTCTCAATGTAGCTTCATTTAGACAATTGTAGTAACTCAAATCTACCAGAAGAAATTTTTAAATCAGTCCTTAATAGAAGGCGTGGACAGTACAACAGTTTATTAAATTTCTCAAATCTATTATGTCTACTCTATCCATTGAAATGACACTCCAAGAAAATTATCAATCTGTAAATCTATTTCTAAAGAGTTAGAGCTGAATTTTTACTGTGATTCAACTTGGATAATATAATTATATATTCTTAAAGCTTGTATGTATTTTAGCAATACAAGCACCAAAAAGCACAAATGATGACCCAAGTTTTTGTCTAGTTCTCTTAAACTACCAAAAAGCACAAGGAAACATTCAATATTGATGAAAATTGTTTATTATAAATACCACAAGTAAACCATACCAAGCAAGTTGAAAAATTCATGTACAAAGTTTTTCTCACTGGCAAGACCACTGTTTGTTAGGCTGTGTTTACATTAGGCCTAGCAAGCCTAAGAAACTACTTAAATAGGCAAAAAACATCACCAAAAAGAAATTTAAAAGAACATAAATGTCACGAGTTCAAAATTTATTACATGTATATTAAATGAAACCTTCTGATCAACAATTTAAAAAAAGTCTGCTTTCTTATCATTGTATACCAGCGATCATAAATACCGTGAAAGTGGGTGCAAAATATTCAAATTAAAAAACAAAAAATTACAGTTTTATACAATAAAAACTTTATAGGAAACTTTTACAAGAAATTAGAAGACAAAAAAAGTCAGTAACTGAAATCTACAACCAAGGTAGACATTTCTAAGTGTTTTTTTTAAAAAGAGAATCACTGAAATGTTTAAAATTTTCAAAGCTGCAAATTTATCCAAATATTACATATAAGAATATTTCCAGAAGCTACACAATCTTTAGAAAGTTTATATCAAATTTCAAGCTATTTCATCCAGTACTTTTTTTTGTTTTTTCTAAATTCATTAAAATAAACATCACAACAAGTGTTAAATCAATGCACCTCATCATTTTAGCAATTACGGAATTAAAAAAAGAAAAGCCTAAATAAATGATATACATTACCACTTGCTCTTTGATTTGGTCCTGCAAATATATGTAACAAATCTAATACAAAACTTGGGACTTGTTTCTTCTGAAAATACACACTACATATCATCCAAGTCACAAATGAATACAGTATGCTGGCAAATATGTAGAAGTGAACAAACCAACTGAAAAAACAGAAGAAAACGAATTAAAACTTAGATAAAAGAAATATTTCTAAAACAAGTTTTCTAAATTACTTATGAATTTCTCACAAATAAATATCTTAGAAATCTCAAGATTTAGAAAATTTTAAACTGGAATTTACTGTACAACTGTAATAAGTTTTGTTTACAGAGAAAATGTGGGCTTTTTGTTGCTAAAAAAGATTTCATTCACACAAAATGTAGTCTTTTTGTAAGTCAATCACAAAAATCCTCATTAGCATGAGACTATACTAGTTAAGCCAATAACTTTCTTTGAAAACTGAAGAAAAACAAGTTGTTAGTTGATGTAAGTTCCCTCCTTGAAAAATGTCTTTGCCTCAAAAGCTAAATTTGTAATATTTATCTATATATTTGTTGTTTACTAATTAGTGTGTGTGTGTAGTCAGACTCTCCCGGGTATCATGAAGTCCAAAATCTTCAGAACACTGATTACAAATCTTCCACCCATCTGGAAGATTGGAGAGATAGTCATTGGACAGCGTATTTTAATAAATACCCTAGCAGAAGTATGGTCAAGTATTTCTAGCCATTTGTTTCTCTATAGTGATGAATAAAAACAACACACCCATCTCAGTGAATATAATGCTGCCTTCAGAGATAGCATTCATAAGATACTGACTTAACTGTTTTTCTTTTTTTAATGTAGATTAATGTTGGGCTTAATCAGAACTGAATATAAACTTGATCAAGACAATGTATTTATGGTAATACTCAGTAAATTAAAATTAATTTTACATATTGCAAGACTGACACTCAGCCAATTTACTGAAATTTAAGGCAGGGGTTAGCTGATATGTTCCTGCCAGGTTTAATTAAAGTAAAAGGTTTAGGTTCTAATGAAATCTTTCAGTCTACCTCGTGTTCAACTATTCTGCAACACTGACTCTCTCCATTATATTTGAAAAACCTAACACAAAATGAATAGTAGCAGATAGTCCTCTCACACTAGTTAATATACACAGGAATCTAAAAGAGTCAATAATATAATAGCAATACTAACCACTTACATGTATATATACAGTATAACCAAACGACTATAAGAAACCTTGTTCACACTATTCAATACCTGGACTAAACCACTATTACGCAGAAATCTACACTACAACTTACAAGAAACTTCGAGTGAATTGCCATAGGCAATAGTAGAGGCCAGAACTTTAAAAATTACAGGAGTTTAAATGGAGGGTCGATTATTTTATTAAAATAAAAAGGTGTTCAAATTTTTTACTTTTCTAAAAGGCGAACGTACAACTACAGTTTGAACTTGGAGAGCCAAACCATTCCTTACTCAGTTGTTGTCTACAGGTTACGTAAATATATTGTAAAAACCAAACCCAGTGTTTCATCCATTAGCAGTGAGCATAAGTCTACTGATATCCAAATAATACACGCGTATATTAACAATAACATGCCAATGGATTACAATTTTGTAACTATTTTATAATTATACATAATGTTAACTTATGGCTTTAGGTCTAATACTAATAGTAATACTAAATAATAGTATGCTAATATTACTGTTTCACAAACGGTCAATTTATAACATTTAATAAAAAAAATTATCCTTACCTCTTTGGGAGCTCTAAAACACGAAGAAAATGATAATATTTCTCATACGGTTCTGCTGCTTTTCCATATTTAAAGAAACTTCTTAAAATCTGTGGAACATGAATAGGAAAATACAACACAAGTATGCCGGTAAATGACAGAATAAACGTGGACAGGAGCCAAATGATTGTAATGTAGTTCATTTTCACTCCAGTCGTAACAAATAATAACACTACTGGCTTAATTACTTTAAGTTTGAGTCAGAATTTAAAATGTCGAGTCACACATATACGTACAATTTAATATTTGATGCTTTGTACAAATAATAGCGCCATGACACTGTTTTAAATTTGATGCCAGCGCCACCGCAATAACGTTGGAATTCTACCATAATTAAAACATACATTGATTTTTAAGTTTATTCTTAAATAATTGAAAAAATAATACATTTACACTGTTAATATAAAGAAATCTAAGCTAGATTTTATCGATCTGTCTTTCATATGACGTGTTTTGCACGATTAAAGTGCATTTTGGGGTCGAACTTTCATAGGGTTTCCCCCTAATGTTATCTCTGATTTCACTGGACAACAGATTTTTTTTTTTTCTGGAGAAAACTTAACTGATTCGGAATAATTTGATGGTGCTGATTTCATAAATGTTGTCAGAATTTGTCCGTCACCTCTAAATTTTGAATTATTGTAATATCTCAATATTTTATTAGCACTATGTGAAATACCATGCAATCAACTCAGTACAATAGATTTATGCTGTGAAATTACATTTACTTGGACAGTTTAATGGCAAACATTTTTGATAACTTCAAACATTGAATGTATTATATTGGTGTAAAGTTCCAAATATATTGTTCTCGATATAATTGTAGCGAGTTGCGCCACTTTTGCTTCATTCCCACGTTCACCTGCTCTCCCTGGGAATCACGAAACCTTCACGTGCTCACGTCATATGTTTAAGTTACACAACAACAGGTACCAGACACATACTGTGATGAGACAATTATTTAAGAATACTAACATACTATAAACCGAAAAATCAAAATATGTTTTAGTCTACTATTCGGAAAGTTGAAATCGCAAAGTTACATTTCTTACTTATTTTTTTGTTATCGACGAACTTTTTTCTTATATATATATTTAAATTATTAATTTTAATTTTAACAATAAAGATTAGACTAGAACTGCGTTTTTGTGTTGTTTTTTCATCAATACCAAGCATATCATATTAGTAATATTCATAGATATTTACTCAACTGATGAGGGTCAAAAAATCACAACCTCGAACATGGGCGTCCGCGGGAGGGGCAAAAAAAGGGGTACTTGCCCTCCTCTGGAAAAATGAGGAACATAATTCTTTCTGTATTCATTCAAAATACGTATATGAATTTTTATTCAATTCACAATTTCACACTAATTTGCCTACACCCCCACCCCCTAGAATAATTTCTACGGACGCCCATAATCGCGAACAACTAATAACTCTAATACCGCTAACCGTACGTATTGGTAATTAATCAGTTTTATGTGAAGATAAAGTGACTTCAAGCACCATTACGAGTACGTTCCGAGTAGAAAATTTACAAATGGTGGAAGAATTAATTTGATTTGAATTTCACCCAAAGCTACTGCAGGGCTATCTGAGCTAGACATTCCTAACTTAACAGTGATGGATTAGAAGGAATACAGCTAGTCAGCTCTTGGGATACTATTTTACCAACGAATAGTCTGATTGACAATCACTTTATAAGACCCCCACGGCTGAAAGGACGAGCATATTTGGTGACAGGAATTCGAGCCCGCGCCCCACAGATTGGGAGACTTATGGAATTTTAACAAATTCTGACGAAAGTGGCCATTTGACTCATTAAGGTCACCCCTCATTTTCCAAAAAGTGAAAACAAATTAAATTTCAATGTAATAAATGTTTAAAATAATCCATAATAATAATCTAACATTATCAGCAACAGTTATCACGCACTTGATATTCGACAACCCAATCCATGAATTAATAATTAAATATAAAATAAATGTGCAAAGAATTAATTTACTTCTACTTCTAAAGTTATTACGTGTCCTCAGTACTCAAAATTGATTCTAAACTTGTTCGTTTGATCACTCAAACAAACTTAAGATATTTAAAAAAACGCTCAGTTCCATTTGCGTTTATGTTGTCGTCTTTGTTGACCATAGCCTTAAACTCCGAAATATTAAGTTATTGATATTACAAACTAATATTCCACGCTTGTTTTTCTTCGTAATATAACACAATGTTTACATGTAAGCTTTATAATTAAATATTTCACTTACGAAGATATATATATATATATTATGAAGATCTATTTATTTACATTGTAATTTTAATCATCAAATAAACCTTTTTCTAACACAATGCTTCTAAAATACTGCAGTTGTCAAGTAATCACATTATCTGACAAGATTTAAAAAAGAAACTGGCCTTTTCACGTTGTAGCCTCATGGTCATTCAGTCTTTTAGTTAATTAATCCGATCCCGTATTCAAGCCCCTGTTGGCTCTATTTTCAAATCAGACTTCAAACCTTCTCTCTCTGTGTATCATTATTCTTTTTTTGACTGGTTTCACGCCAGGTTACAAACCTTTTACCTTTGTGCAACTCCAGTATTCTATATCTAAATTTGGGATTCCTTTCAATTTTTTCCATCTTTATTCCCTACCTTGTACTTTTCAAAATTAGAGTACATTTAGCACCATTTTATTGTAATCAATAAATCTGAACAGAAGCTGTTGCTATTTATATCAATTAAATAAATAATGAATAAAAAAAAAAACTCAGGTCAAATTCTCATGGGATTATTCTGGTGGTCTTATCTTCACTTACTTTAAAATTATCCATCTAAAATGTGAAAACTAAGTTAATTTGTGATCCAGTTATGGAAATTCTCCACTTTTTCTTTAAATTAACCCAACTACTGACATTAAAGAAAGTTGAGACATGTGAAATATTGAGAGATAGCCTAATAGATAAAAAGCTTTATATTTTCTGCTCTAGCATCTCAAATAGCTTTCCGTAAATTATCCTTTGGATATATCGTTAAAAGTTACTGTCTATGTTGTCATTAAATGTATAAATTAATTACTTGTAGTTGTGTGTTAAAAGTTTGTCCTATAGTTACGGTCTTTTGAATAATAACTTTCTAGAAAACTGATGTTTATCATTAAGCCTATCAAACAGTTTCTACAAAGTTTCAACTAAGGTTGGTGAAAATCTTCTGAACTTACTGTTAAATTCAGCTTCTCAAGGTATATCAGGTTGGTTCAATCACAAAACTACTTTAATAGACAGAGGCGTAGCCAAGGGGGCTCGGCTCTCCGTAAAAAATTCTAAGCATATTGATCAATTAATGTTTTTCAACTTTTATATATATAATAAACTCGTTTTGTATCAATTAATAAATAAAACTTTTACAAACACTAATACATTTGATGTGATATAGTGACCATTTTATAAACAATTTAGATCAATTTCAGCTTTTTAATTCATTGGTCCCCTCTTAAAATTTTCTTACCCCCTCCCTCTGCCCCCGCCCCGAGTGGAACAATTAGCTACGCCACTGTTAATAGGCGTCTAGGTTTAAGTTACAAGTTAGGTATAAAAGCAAAAACTTGCAAAGAATAAATCAGTCAGTAGAGCACCATCATTTTGATATGCCAGGGATAAAATGGACAATTTCCTGTTGCATAAGTATCCATTATTATAATAAAAATTTCTTACCCCAGTAAGTACGTTTTTCCTAATGAGACCACTTGTCTTTTCAAATTTTTATGTAAAAAAACCTAAAATTATTTCAAACAAGCCACGCTTTCTACACGAAAACTGTTCAGATTCTTATTAGGTATACTTTTTTGCTCATCGCTTCTGAAAAATGTCTTGCATGCCGTGATTGT